ACATGGAGACACCCCGTCTCTACTAAAAATACAAAAAAATAGCTGGGAGTGGTGGCTTATGCCTGTAATCCCAGCTACTCAGGAGGCTGAGGCAGGAGAATTGCTTGAACCTGGAGGCGGAGGTTGCAATGAGCCAAGATTGTGCCATTACACTCCAGCCTGCGCAACAAGAGTGAGATTCTGTTAAAAAAAAAAAAAAAATGCTGTGTATAGTACCTGGCATAGCTGGGAGCTAGCAGAAACATTTATACCACAGAAATCTTACAGGGTTGTGATGCGGTTCAGACACAGCATGATTTGGATCTAGATGACGGTCAGAGGACGAATGAAAGATGACAAAGGTAGATACTACTGCAGGAGGGGACTGATGTGACACAGCCTTCAAAAGTCTCATACCAGTGTGACAAAGGCTTACAATAGAATTTGGGAAAAAATACTGGTGGCAGATCCTATGAGAGGTCTTAGCAAGGCCCAAGGTACCATAAACTCTAGGAACATAGAAGATTAGAAGATTCTCTCTCTCCTTTTTTTTTTTTTTTTTGAGACAGGGTCTTACTCTGTCACCCAGCCTGTAGTAGAGTGATGCCATCACAACTCACTACAGCCTTGACCTCTTGGGCTCAAGTGATCCTCCAGCCTCAGCCTCCTAAGTAGTGGGAAATATAAGCATGCACCACCAGGTCCAACTATATTAAAAAGAAGATTTTTTTGGATACACACGGGGTCTTGCTATGTTGCCCAGGCTGATCTGAAACTCCTGGCCTAAAGTGATCCTTCCTCCTCTGCCTCCCAAATAGGTGTGAGCCACTGTGCTAAGCTGAAGATTCTTAACGCTCAGCACACGCAGGAGTTTTACTTGTATTCTTCACAGTTTAATTTCAGTAACTGTGCATTGAACACCTATTGGGTGTTGGGCACCGGGGCAGTGTTAGAAAATTCTCAAATGGTGACTAGTTTCTCAAAATGCTTTTAAGAAACATTTGTTAGATACCATCTACCAAGGAGATGAAAGAGAGAAAACAGTGGACCAAATTGGATAAATTGGATACTGGGTTACATGCATCACCTTTTCTGAATGAACATCAGAAAACAAAATGCAGCCAGTGTAACAGGAAGAATGTTAACAATCAGTGCTGTCCTGGAATTGCAAGGAGTGAGGCTTGTCCTCTTTGCCAGAACACATTCTAGGCAAGAGGGCAGAAAGGCCGGAAGAAAGGGGTGGAGGTGAGCCAGCCGCCTACATCTTCAGGCCAAGGCTAGATTTCCCCATTGCAAGGGATGTAAAAGCAACCCCTTCCAGAAGGCGCTGCCAATGCTTTCATCAGGGGAAAGCTTTATCCTCCTGGTGCAAGGAAAGACTGGCAGCCATGAGCCGTCAAGACTGAGGGATGCTAGAAATTCCCTTTGTTCCCTGATGGAATGTTTCCTGTTTGCAGCGTGTCCCTCCAAAGCCTTGGCACTCCTAAGCCACAGGAGGTGGGTGTGGGGCACCCCAAGGAGCCTCCACCCTGGCATTAAAGGATGTTTTTCAGGCTCAAACTTGCAGGGCTGGGAAGAGTCGGACCTGCCCTCTGGTTGAGTCATGGGGCTTTCTCACCTCCTCACTAGGGTTTCTTCTTGCTCAGCTGTGCAGCAGCAGAAACGGCTGAGGGCACTGAAACGGATCAAGGGAGCCACTCTGCAAGTGGCCCCAGCTGCTGCTACTAACACCTAATCACCTTGGCCTGGGGCCCCAGCGCTGAATGATTAAGCATTTGAAAATCACTTTAATGTCTTGGCATACCGGTGCTTATATATTAGGTGTATGGGTGGATTAAGCAGGAAGGTTTTCTTAGGATTTATCTTCTAGCCCACCAGATTGATTAGCAATGTCCAGCCTGCGGGCAGTCATAGAGATGTACTGGCTTCTAGTCTTAAAGATGCTTGGATTTCATATCTCTCTCTCTCTCTCTCTCTCTCTCTCTCTCTCTCTCTGTGTGTGTGTGTGTGACTGGCTTCTAGTCTTAAAGATGCTTGGATTTCATCTCTCTCTCTCTCTCTCTCTCTCTCTCTCTCTCTCTGTGTGTGTGTGTGTGTGTGTGTGTGTGTATGTGTGTGTGTGTGTGTGTGTGTGTTTCAGACAGAGTCTTGCTCTGTTGCCCGGGCTGGAGTGCAGTGGTATTATCTCAGTTCACTGCAACTTCTGCCTCTGGAGTTCAAGTGATTCTCCTGCCTCAGCCTTGAAAATAACTGGGATTACAAGGGTGCACCCCCATGCCAGGCTAAGCTGTGTATTTTTAGTAGAGATAGGGTTTCATCATGTTGGCCAGGATGGTCTCAAACTTCTGGCCTCAAGCGATCTACCTGCTTCGGTCTCCCCAGGTGTTGAAATTACAGGCACGAGCCACAGGGCCTAGCCAGGTTTCATTTCTGATGGGTGCGTGATGTCAATTTCATCTCAGGAGGTTTGGGGGTCCTGTTCACAGCTTCATCTATAGCTGCTATTAAGGTGAACTGTTGCCTTGGTGCCCCCGGAGTCTGCCAGATACTAGGGGGCCCATGCAGAGGGACCAGGACACAGGCTTAAAAGTGGGCATACCTGGGTGCCAGGATCCTGAACTCACCCACCTCCAGCTTTCGTCTCTTCTACAGCAGCAAGAGAGTCTCTAAGTAAAGTGCCTAGACCCGAAGCATCAGCCTCACTTGGAAACCTGCTAGCGGTATAAATTCTCAGTCTCTCCTCAGACCTACAGAATCGGGAACTCTGAGAGGTGTTTCGACAAGTCCTACAAGCAGTTCCGATGTACACAAAGGTTTGTGAAGCACCGAGCTTGAAGAATCCAAGCTGAAGTCAGCCAGATTCCCTATGCTAAAGGGGAAGGTGGGCTAACAGATAGAGCCTCTAATCTGACACTGGCTTTTCACAGGGTTAAAAAATGAGGGTAGGCTTTGTTTAAAACACAAACAAGGCGTTAGCTCTAACTGCTCTGGGTCATTCAGCAGGAGACAGGGAGTGGCTGCAGTTCGAGGTAGGGGTCTTCGGCTTTGAATTCCATTCTCTGTGATTCTAGAAGACAACACTCTCTACAGTCTTCATTGCAAACTCCCAAGCCTCAAAAAGGATGAGCATTGAGCCCATTTTTTGGATGAAACATTTTTAAAGGACCCAAGCAGGGTGGGGTTGACAGTGGCCCCAGGTGATGTAGCTGAGGCAGCTCTAGGTTTATGGGACCTGAAGCTTATATAATTTTAGCAGGTTTTTTTAATTTTTTAATTTTTTTATTTATTATTATTTTTTTGAGACAGAGTCTTGCTCTGTCACCCAAGCTAGAGTGCAGTGGCACGATCTCAGCTCACTGCAACCTCTGCCTCCCAGGTTCAAGTGATTCTCCTGCCTCAGCCTCCCGAGTAGCAGGATGACAGGTGTGCACCACTACACTCGGCTCGGCTACTTTTTGTGTTTTTAGTAGAGGTGCGGTTTCACTATGTTAGCCAAGGTGGTCTCGAACTCTTGACCTCAGGTGATCCGCCCACCTCGGCCTCCCAAAGTGCTGGGGTTACAGGCTTGAGCCACCACCTGCCCTTTAGCAGTTCTATTTAAGAAAAATAAAACAAAATATATTATGTTCACAGATTTTGCAGAAACACAGGACTATGTGACTGCATGGCTAAGGTCCCCTGAGGGCTTCGGCCTGTCCAAGGAGGGGCGCTGACCTTAACGCTCCATTGATCCCAACACTAACCTCGTCTCTCAGTCCAGGAAGGATGTCTGTCGTCTCCCTGGTCCTTTAAACTTTTTCCTGGCTCTGATTGGATCACGCCAGCCAGAAGCTAAGGAGACCATTTTTAGCTCCTCTTCCTCTCCTGTCTTTTCCTTTTTAATTTGTTGTTGTTTGCAGCCACGATATACAGTAATATAAATTATCAGGGAAGACTTCTTGCTTTCTTTGCATGGCTCAGAGACAGCTGCACGGCTCCTACATCAATCAGGGTTTTCCTCATGTTGCACTTTTCTTTTTGTTTGGTTTCTTAAGACAGGGACTCACTCTGCCACCCAGGCTGGAAGCAGTGGTGCAGTCATTGCTCACTGCAGCCTCAATCTCCCGGGCTCAGTGATCCTCCCTACTCAGCCTCCCAAGTAGCTGGGACTGCAAGTGCTGTGCCACCACGCCTGGATAATTTTAATTTTTGTGTGTGTGTACAGACAGTACCTCACTGTGTTGCCCAGGCTGATCTTGAATTCCTTGGCCTCCCACACTACCGGGATGACAGGTGTAAGCCATCACGCCCGGCCACAGTGCACTTTCCTAACATTTCCAGATCGAGGCTGCCTCCCTCCCTCCCTGCTTCCTTCAAACCCACTCTTCCTCCTGCCATTTCAGTGAATGGCACCCCCATTTCTGGGTCAGCCATATCTAAGACCTTGGAACTCCTCTGTCCCTCCCAACATCAAAAGACAAAATGACTTGGCCAAGGGTGGCCGAAATGGATGGCAGAACCAGATCTCTGACTTGCAATTTCAAAAGGCACTGAGTGGAGAAACCACACCCTGTGACAGCCAGTCTGCCCTTTCCGACACGATAGAGAGAGTATTCTGCATTTTTAAAAGCCTGGAGAAATCACCTGGGAGTAGAATGCAGCATCTCCCGGCACCAGACCCTGAAATTCACAACACGCAAGTGGGCACATGAGCAGACCGCACTTTCCACTTTTGGACCTGACATTCCCCAGTCTGCCACTGGCATTCTGAAAGGCTCTGGGGGGTACCTGAAGAAACCGATGTGTGACCAACAGGCCTTCCTGCACTGAATGGTTCAACTGATCTTTTTTTTTTTTCCCTTCCACTATTTGATTCTATGGAGCAGTTTTCTCAGGATCCCAAACTTGGCCTGGAAACCAGAGCTAGCTCTGGAGCAGTCTGCCCAGCAGTGTCCCCTGCTGCAGCGCTCCCCGCCTTCCTGGGTCCCCACTGGAGTCCCAGCCACGCTCAGGGGGCGCCCCTCCATCTGGCCCCTGCCTACCTGAGGACAGCAAACTGCCACTGCTGCCACTGATGATCTTCCCCTTGCTGCCCATGTTGGCTAGCTTGGAGGTCTTCAGCGTCCCCGTCTCGGTCAGGTCGATGGCGATCTCACTCAGACTGCGTGCCGCATGGATTTTGGACTGGAAGGGAAAGAGCGGCGGGTCAAAGACAGGATGCTAACCCCATGGAGGAGACAGTCATACCTTGCCCGCCCCTGCTCACCGTCTTGACATTCCACAAAGGGACTTATCTCCCTGACTGACCTGCTGCAACCCTCCGCCTCATCATTAATCACTAAAACTCTCTGCAAAGGGCAGAGGCAGCTCAAGAGCTGCACCAAGGGAGGACATTCTGCGCCTCGGATTCTGTAGGCTGTACTGTGTTGTGCTTAAGAGAACATCTTGATGGAGGCAAAGTGACTTCATCTCGCTGAGCCTCATTATTCCCAGCCACAAAACAAGGTAGATGCCACTCGCCACCCAGGGGTTGGTTCTGGTCAAAGCAAAGTGTGGGAAGGGTATTCCTCCCTCTCCCTCCTTGTCTGCCTGGCACACAGCTCTCAATAAACATTGTGATTATAATTATTTGGTGCTTAAACGAGGAGGAAAAAATTATTTTCAGCGTTCTGAATGACATATGAGATTTAAACCTCTTAAAGGGTTAGCCATGTGGTTATGGAAAGTTTAGTGACAGTGGTTCTCCAGCTTGGGCAACACAGCAAAATCCCTTCTCTACAAAATATTAAAAAATTAAGGCCGGGCGCGGTGGCTCAAGCCTGTAATCCCAGCACTTTGGGAGGCCGAGGCGGGTGGATCACGAGGTCGAGAGATCGAGACCATCCTGGTCAACATGGTGAAACCCCGTCTCTACTAAAAATACAAAAAATTAGCTGGGCATGGTGGCGCGTGCCTGTAATCCCAGCTACTCAGGAGGCTGAGGCAGGGGAATTGCCTGAGCCCAGGAGGCGGAGGTTGCGGTGAGCCGAAATCGTGCCATTGCACTCCAGCCTGGGTAACAAGAGCGAAACTCCGTCTCAAAAAAAAAAAAAAAAAAAAAAAAAAAAAAAAAAAAAAAAAAAAAATTAGCCAGGTGTGGTGGTGCATGCCTGTAATGCCTGTAGTCCCAGCTACTTGGGAGGCTGACACAGGAGGATTGCTTGAGTCCAGGAGTTGGAGGCTGCAGTGAGCTGTGCAATGCCTGGAAGCTGGCCAACATGGGCTGCAATGGTTGCACCATTGTACCCCAGCCTGGGCAACAGAGTGAGACCCTGTCTTAAAAAAAAAAAAGAGAGAGAAATGACAGGGACAGCTCTCTAGACCTGCAATCACAGGGTGCATGATTGTGGAAAAACTGTTCATTTGGGTTTTGGGGTCCCACCAACCAGCGTTTGACCTGGTGCTTTCTTGTGTTTGGACATCTAAGTGCATGCGCCCGTCTTCCTATTATGGCTGAAAGGCACTCCCTTCAGCACACAGCGATTGGTTCTATTTGGTTAACAGTCACAGTAGGTGAGACTAATTAGAAAACAGGTCTGTGTTCACATTTACATTACAAAAAGCAATGGTGTTTTTTTTTTTAATTTTTTTTTTTTTGAGACAGAGTCTCACTTTGTCACCCAGGCTGGAGTGCAGTGGCCCAATCTCAGCTCACTGCAACCTCCGCCTCCAGGATTCAAGTGATTCTCCTGCCTCAGACTCCCTAGTAGTTGGGACTACAGGTGCCTGCCACCACACCACGCCCAGCTAATTTCTGTGTTCTTAGTAGAGATAGGGTTTTGCCATGTTGTCCAGGCTAGTCTCGAATGCCTGACCTCAAGTGATCCTCCTGTCACAGCCTCCCAAAGTGCTGGGATTATAGGCATGAACCACCACACCCAGCCAAAGCAGCAGCTTTTCTACGGCTATCTGCTTCCGCTTCCATCCATGGTAGTAACAACGTGTTTGCATTTCCCGTACGTGTGTCCAATGTCTGCTTGTTTCCTTATTCAATCAACTTTCTGTGAGTGTGCCTAAGGCAACAGGCTTTGCCTGTATGCTGAGCTTTGTGAAAACAACTAGAAACAGTGGGATGCCCTGCACACTTGCTCATCTGTCCTTTCTGCGGCACACGCGTGGGCGGAACTGGGCGAGGTTCACTGTTGAGGCTTCATGCCTGGCCTGTGGACCACCAGGTCTTTCCTACACATGGGAGAAAGCAGGCGTGGGGGCTCTGGTGAAGGCTGTGCATGGCTGTGACCCACGGCTCCTAGATGCCCTCTGCATGGCCTTCCTTCCATGCCCAGGGGCCCTCATCTGTCCAGCCAGGACTGTCTGGATGCCTGCAGCTCTGCCCTTCCTCTGCCCTCAGTGTTGCTGTCAGTACTGGCAAGGACAACTTCCTATCTCATGTTAACGCGATGGATATCCGCGGGCCGGAGGAAGTGCTGAGACGTGGCGCTTCACCTGGTGTGAACCGTCTTCTTCTTCTTCTTCTTCCTCCTCCTCCTCCTCCTCCCCCTCCTCCTGTCTACCCCATGGACCTTTTCTCGACTTATGCCTCCTTCCTAACCTCAACTTTCTTCCTTGCATTCAGATCCAAGTCGACTTCCTCAGGGGAGTTTCCTTGTTCATAAAACAATCCTGGCTGCCAGGCCCTCGAAGGATTTTGGCTTGCCTCAGAAGGAAGGAAAAGGGCCTTTTATTTCATTTTGACACAGCATGTCAGTTGCACCCATCTGGTTGAGTTTTACCCTCTAAGCAAGCATGGCGCGTACCATCCATGACTTCCTTTCTTTCTGCACCGCTGTTACAGAGACCCACGTTTTAATAAAAAGTAGCCCACTCCCAAACGGTGATGTAACAACACCGTTAGGCGAAGGCCTAGACCAATTCAACGTGGGGTGAAGGGTCTGGCCCTGAAGTCAGAATGACCTGAGTTAGAGGCCGTGCGTGATAGCTCAAGCCTGTCATCCCAGCACTTTGGGAGGCTGAGGTGGGTAGATCCCTTATGGCCAGGAGTTTGAGAACAGCCTGGCCAACACGGCAAAACCTTGTCTCTATTAGAAATACAAAAATTAGCTGGGCGTGGTGGCGTGCGCCTGTAGTCCCACAGTCCCAGCCCCAGCTACTCGGGAGGCTGAGGCAGGAAAATCCCTTGAAACAGTTGGGGGAAGGGGGGTGGTGGGGGCAGAGGTTGCAGGGAGCCAAGATCACACCACTGTGTGATCTCATTCTTGCCTTAGTGCTAGAGTGAGACTGTCTCAAAACACACAAACAAAAAAACAAACAAAAAACCAAAAAACAAAACCCCTGAATGAGAACCTTGACTTTCTAGTGAATCACTATTGGACTTTGACCCTTCACTTTCCTGCTCCTCAGATACCTGTTTGTAAAATGCAGGTCTTAAAACCCACATCCCAGAGTTGTGATAATAAATAAACTCTTAAAAAACACTTAAAAAACTCTTTAAGGCCGGGCGCGGTGGCTCAAGCCTGTAATCCCAGCACTTTGGGAGGCCGAGGCGGGTGGATCACGAGGTCAAGAGATCGAGACCATCCTGGTCAACATGGTGAAACCCTGTCTCTACTAAAAATACAAAAAATTAGCTGGGCATGGTGGCACGTGCCTGTAATCCCAGCTACTCAGGAGGCTGAGGCAGGAGAATCGCCTGAACCCAGGAGGCGGAGGTTGCGGTGAGCCGAGATCGCGCCATTGCACTCCAGCCTGGGTAACAAGAGTGAAACTCTGTCTCAAAAAAACAAAAACAAAAACAAAAAAAAAAACTCTTTAAAAAACTCTTAACAAACTCTTAAAATAACAAAAAGAAAAAATGACCAAGATGAGGAAAAAAAAATAAATGAAGTAGATGATTTATGTAAAGGCCATTGCAGCAAGAATGGGATCTGCATTAGAGCCTGGCTGTAGTTTGCTGAGGTTAGATTGATGGCCCAACCAGCTATTTTGGGGACCTTACTAATCACATGAAAAACGTGTCCCCCTTGCCATATCAGGACTCTTGCCACACAACAACCTTAAAACAAAAATATGGACAAAAGGCATCCTTCCTAAAGCGGACTAGATCCCTGGAAGCTTTAGAAAACGAAAGAGATTTTTCTTTTCTTTTTAAATAGAGTTCTGCTCTGTTGCCCAGGCTGGTGGAGTGCGGTGACCCGATCTCAGCTCACTGCAACCTCCGCCTCTCTGGTTCCAGCAATTCTCCTGCCTTAGCCTCCTGAGCAGCTGGAACTACAGGCGTGGACCACCACGCCTAGCTAATTTTTGTATTTTTAGTACAGACGGGGTGTCGCCACGTTGGCCAGGCTGGTGTCGAACCCCTGCCCACCTTGGCCTCCTGAATTGCTGAGGTTAAAGGTGTGAGCCACCGTGCCCTGCCCAGATTTTCTAGAATGGAAATATCACAGTGACCTAACAGACTTGGTGGAGAGAGGACCAGGAGGACGTGAGCACTGACAGGGAGAGTCTCTCTTTGCAAAGTCCCCAGACTCCAGAACGTTTTGCTCTGCAAGTCTTTCCCGATACACGTGACTCAGTCTTCTCACTGATATTCTGGGAGCAAGGCTTCAATGTCCCTGTCCCCCTTTTACTCTGCCTTTGACCCTAGTTAGAATGGAGAACTGCATCGGGGAGAAAAAAAACAAACAAACAACAACAACAACAACAAAAAACTACACACACATCAGGAAGAAGGAAAGACGTTTGGATTGCGGGCCAATTCAAGAAGTTCCCACTCCGAGTTCAGAGGGAAAGTGTCTAATGTTTACTCTAAACATTTTGAGCTTTCAAATATTTTCCTGCAAAGTCTCTAAGATATTCCTTGGCTCTGTGCTTCAGAGGCTGCTGGGATCTAGCAGACATTTGTGATCTCTGGGTCAGCATGTAAGTTACCAGTTATAATCGCTGCCTGTGCAGCTTCTCATTCTGAAGGAGCTGCAAATAACCAACCAGCACAGCCTCCCTCCGCCCTGTCTTAGATGGTACGATGGTTTCCTGATGTATATGCGTGGAGTGCTGATGGAGGGAGGGAGGGGGAGAGAGAGTCACGACAGAGAGAAAAGAGGAGAGATTTCCTTAAATGATCTGCATAGCCCCCCGAAAAGAAAATCACCAAGTGTCAGGAAAGCACCTGAACCCTCACAGCTCCCACCCTCACTGACTCAAACCACTAGACCGCACTTGTCTCTCTGCGGTTGAGAAAACATCACTTGGGAGGCCTGGGCTTTGCTGAAGCTTTTCAGAGAAAGGAATGGTTGGCATGTCCCAGTACAGTGTGAGCAGTGGCCAGGATGCCAGCCAGAACTGGCTGCCCAGAAATATTATGTAGCTCTCTGTCCCAGCCTTGTCAGGCATCACTCACCCAGAGGCTGTGCTGCCCATCAGAGATGAATCACACTGCCATTCTATAAAGAACATTCCGGAAACAAAAAGGTGTTGTAATGTAATTCCCAAAGGGAATGTCCTCATCTCTGATTTCATTTGGGGGCCGTTTAGAGAATTTAAACTTCATGCAAGTGTTGGCCAGAGACAGTATGCTAGATTAACAATGACATGCATAAAAGATGGCATGTATTTCCTCAAGCAATTTCACAAACGTGGTGCCATTTGACCAATCAATAATTGAGGTCAGGAATTTTATTTGCTGCTAATTGGGGAAAGCAAAGCACCAACGATGAAATGCCCACCCGGGGTCCCAGAGCTGGAAAACAGGCCTCCTCCTCCCTCCCACATAGCGGGTGGCGATCCTCACCTGTCACTGCGGGCTGGGGAACTGATTCCTATGAGACGCGTGGGGGCTTTAGGGCATCTGTGGGTATACCAGGCTTCCTGGGAAAGGTTCTCCCCCTCCTCTTCCTGGGAGTGTGGGCATTTTCTTCAGTCCCCCAGGGTTACATTTACAAAAGGGACAGCTGAAACTTTCCTAATGCCATGGGCATTTGGTTTTGCCTCCTAAAAGGCACATATTACTAAGTGATAGACAATATTTTTATTTTTTTTGAGATGGAGTCTCAACTCTGTCAACCAGGCTGGAGTGCAGTGGTACGATCTCAGCTCACTGCCACTTCTGCCTCCCCGGGTCAAGCAATTCTTCTGCCTCAGCCTTCCCAGTAGGTGAGATTCCAGGTGCCTGCCACAATGGCTGGCTTTTTTTTTTTTTTTTTTTTTTTTGTATTTTTAGTAGAGACAGGGTTTCCCCATTTTGGCCAGGCTGGTCTCGAACTTCTGACCTCAAGTGATCTGCCCACCTCGGCCTGCCAAAGTACTGGGATTTTAGGCGTGAGCCACAGCACCCGGCCAATAATTTCTTTTTGAGATGTACTTGCTGTGTCAGTGAGGTGACCTGCTAGCCTGCTGAATAACAAGGCTTTCCAACTGCGAACGAGACCATCTTCCAGGGTCAGGTGGGAAAGCCCTAAGAATAAGCTTCTGGAGATGCCCAAGAGACCACCTATGCAAAAAACCAGCACAGAGAGGAGAAGCTCGAACAGCCAACGTCGTGCTATCCTCAGGCAAAATACACATTTCTTTTTCTCTTTCCACACTGTGGTACAGTGTGTGTGGGGTCTGCCCTCAAGAGCAACTGGCAGTGGGGTTCAGGAGCATTGCCCAATCCTCTACCCTCACCATCCGTCACCCAACAAAAGAGGATGAAATCAGTGTTCGCAGGTGTTGACCTGCATCGGCTGCCCCTGGGGTGCAAAACCCTGACACCCACCAACCATGTCAATATCCAGCATGAGTCAAAACACTTTGGCCCTGTTTCTTTTGATCTAATCGAGCTTTGAATTCCTGTGCTAGGATCCATCATTGCCAGGAGAGCTAAGGAGAATACTCTCATTCTTCCTAACAACAGAAGTCTTCTATTCTGCCCTCATTCATCCCAGAAAATGACCAAAACAGGGTTCAGAAAGAAGTCGAGGAAAAAATATTTTACGAAGGACAAAATGATGGCTACAGGGGACGATCTTGATTTAAAACTGAGGTATAGAGGGACTGTCTCATTTCTTCCTGTCCTCTTTCCTTCTTTTATTTTATTATTATTTTTTTTAGTAGAGACAGGGGTCTCACTATGTTGTCCAGGCTGGTCTTGAACTCCTGAGCTCAAGTGATCCTCCTGCCTTGGTCTCCCCAGTTGCTGGGACTACAGTTGTAAGCCACTGTGCCCAGCCCCCGTACTGTTTTCTGACTCTCTCTCTCTGATCACCTCCCCCTTGACCTCAACTCACTCACTCTCCTCTTCCCCAGGGAAAAAGAAACCCCTTCAAATACGGAAAAGATGGCAAAAGAGAAAGAACGGTAGAGGGCACCAATTCAAGTGACTCTTGTGCCCAATAAGCATGGCATCGTGCCACCTTCTCCCAAGAACTCCCACAATGGAGGATTTACCTCCGGAAGTGCTGGAAACCAGTAGCGCAGGCGCCCAGCGTGATCTCCGTCTGTGTTCCCCCACCCCAAGCCCGCAGGATCTTGAGAGAAGCTGCAGGGCCATCTTGGCAAGGCTCTTCCCCTGAGGAAGAATTAACGGGCGTGGCTGGTAGGGGGCTGACAGGGGAGTCTGGGGAGACAGGGCTGGAGGAAGAGGGGGAGAGTGTTGATATAAGCCCTGTGTGAACCAAGGAGACATCATCCTCTCACCCACCAGAAAGCGCAGCTGCGTGGGTGGTGACATCTCCCTGGAGGAGGGCTGTTTACCAAGGCCCCAGGCTCCAGGTCTACCTGAGGGAACCAGGGCGGCTCCTTTTGCCTTTTTTTTTTTTTTTTTAAACTTTTCCAGTTTTGCATTTTTTTAAAAAATGGATTTGGCAGTTGGAACCGCCTGAGGGATTTCACAGCAATTACCCTAAACAGTTAGGTGGTGTCTATTCATTGAGAACTATTACTTTTTTCTTTTTTTCCAAAGGAAGATAATATGCCAGTTTAAACCCCAAAAAGGGCATGCCTTTAGCACAGTGGGAATTCCTCAAAAGGGGCTTAACTGGCCAATACTTTCTTTTTGAGAAGTACTTGTGTCAGTGAGTTGACCTGTTAGCCTTTGAATAACAAGGCTTTCTAACTGCAGAGTGAGACCATCTTCCAGGGTGGGGTGGGAAAGCCTTAAGAACAAGCTTCTTGAGACGCCCAAGAGACCCCAAGCCCAGTCGGCAGCTTGAGCTGCTCTCATGGTAGGCCGGAGCCCCCTGGACCAAGTCTGATGGAATGTTCCCTCTTGAAGAGCTAGTCTCATTCCTCCACCTACAGCCCTAAGAGGCAAGTCCGTACCTGTGCAAGGTATGGACCAGGGCAAGGGACACGGCACCTTCCCCACCCATCCAGTTCTCATTCCTAAATGAGAGAGGCTGACAATGGCTTCAGGCTGCTCTGAAGCTGGCTGAGGGCTTGGTGAGAGGGCTGGTCACTCACCTTACTCTGCTTTCTGTCCAAATAGAACTGGTGTTGGCTTATGGCCATAGCCCAGATGGACTTGATCAATGCCGGACATGCATACCACGTGTGCACCGCAATGCCGCTGTGCCCAAACGTCCTCCTTGTCACTGAAGCCCTGGGGAAGCAAGAATCACAAGGTTCAACTCTGTTTCTGTTGAGAGAAACCATTTCTTAGTCAACAGCTTCTGTGCAGAACCCACTGGGTCCTGGAAGCCCTGGCGTAAAGGCGACAGATGAGCACTCACATACACCTAAACACACACACACAAACACACACATACACACACTCACGTGCGCACACACACTCGGAGACACTGGCTGGCAAAGGCCACCTTCTGATTTTCTGACCCCCTAGAGTTTGGAATTTGGCCAAGTCTTGGCCTTGTCTAGGATAGGATGGCTCATTTTAGGTCACTGGATGGTCCTTTTCAATCTTGGACCTGGCACTGAGCCAAGACAAACTTCGCAGACAAGAAAACCTTCAGTGATGCTCCGTATGAGACAGGAAATGCGCCTACAGCGGGGATGAGTACATTCTTTTCTAATCACCACAGGCTACAGCATCCCAGGGAATCGGAACTTCTTACATAACTCTAACCCAATGTTCCTTGAAGATTTGGTGATCAATTTCCCATCTATTCACAGGGCAGGGAGGGTATAAAGAATCGGGAGAGGAAAGGCAGAGAGAAACGTGCCCAGCCCCAACTCCTTCAACCTTTGTATGTACATTTGTTTTTTAAGACGGAGTCACAGTGTGACTCCAGCCCAGGCTGGAGTCTGGTGGCACCATTTAGACTCACTGCAACCTCTGCCTCCCAGGTTCAAGTGATTCTCCTGCCTCAGTCTCCTAAGTAGCCACCACACCTGGCTAATTTTTTGTATTTTTTTAGTAGAGAGGGGTTTCACCAGGCTGGTCTCGAACTCCTGACTTCAGGTGATCACCTGCCTCAGCCTCCCAAAATGCTGGGATGTAATCAGCCACCATGCCTTGCCTTGTCTATATATTTTTAAACCTACATGGGGTAATCAGACTTTAAAAATGAAAATGGGAACTGCTTATCTCCATATAATTCACCACATTCATAGTTAGGGGGAAAAAAACGTTATATGGTCATGCTCTCAGTGAAGTATATTTTATAGGACAGGCAGATTATTTTGCAAATGAAATCTGAGAATGTGTGTATTTGTGTGCGTGTGCGTGTGTGTGTGTGTGTGTGTGTATGTGTCTCAAGTTGATGGGAAGGTGAGATGGGATTTGGAGCATTTTACCTAGACATCAGAGACAAAATGTGTGTTCTCAGGATTAACACATTTAATCTGGAAGAAACCTGGGGTAATCAGGACTTGCAAACAGTAACTTTTTTTCCCAATGCTAATTGTCCCTTAAAGAAAACTGAAAGCTGCCCATATCATTATATCCTTGGGGGGGGGGTAAACATTTAAAGTGGAGTCTTGTTCACCCTCACTTTTAAGGAGAAATTCAAATCTGGTGGTTAGTTAATGATACGGATTCTGCAGGGATTGTCTTCTCCCTTCAGTTCAAACAAAGGTGAAGGGAAAAAGGAAAAAAAAAAAAAGCCATCTCGTGAAAGAGTACAGTTGAAAATAATTGAGAAAAGGAGCCAGTGAGAAAGTGAGGGGGGATCCTTTCACGGTCTCTGTCAATTTCAAAGAAAACAGGATCTGTGCTCCCAGCTTGGCTTCCAAGCAGTTGCTGCTCTTGGAAATAAATGGTTCCCCCCGCCGCCAACAGAACAGCCCAATTAGACAAGAAAAGTATCTTGAAAGGTGGTGCAAGGCTTGGTACCTCCATTTTTCAGGAACTGGGAGGAAGAGGTAAGTGGCTAGTCAGGTCCGGGTAGTTCCCCGGAGCATCTAAGTCAGATACTCGGAGTTCCTCTCCTGCTCTGTTATTAATTTATCTCCTCTCCTCATCTTTCCCTTCAAGCCCTTCCTATTTTGCCCAAACCTTCAAAGTGGAATATTGGCCCAGCCTGGAGAACCTCAGGAATGAAGCTAAGTATTGAGTTAGGATCCCCAGCAGGAGAAAGGGCACGGTGTTTTCCAATGCCCTGCAGGCAACGGTGCAATCACACCTGTGCCCAGCGGCTCAGAAAGCAGCCTCTGCCCTGAACGATTCCCATCGACTACATCTTCATTAAATGATTGTATCTGGCGCTTCCCATCCCATTACTGCGGTTCTGACTCTTTCCTGGCTTGGGGGAGGGGCTGAGCCCCGAAAACCATCCTACCATGAGCCCAATCCCATTCCTCTTCCCCCCCTCAAATAAGCAAAGCTGCAGGCATCAGGACGACACATTCCACTGAAAAAGCACCACGAGGTATATTTCAAAGTAGCTGGGAAAGAGGCCTGGCAGACACTGAAACATAAAAAGAGTAAATGCTCAAGGCCGTGGATACCCCACAAACCCTACCTTGATAATTCCATGTTCTATGCATGTAACACACACACGCGGCCCATAAATCCATGAAATATTAACAACCAGTACAAGAGAAAAAAGGCACCACTAGCATGTGAAAAGAGAACTGAGCGCAAGAAAGCCCTTACAGGTCACAGCTCTGGTTCTGCCACCGTGCTAAATAACTGACCTGAAGCCATTTCCTTTCCTCCTGTGTCTTTAAGGCTGAAGTCAACCTGGGTCCCCATCTCCGGGCTCCCTGGGCCTCTCCCCCATCCCTGCCTGTCTGCAGGCTAATTCAGGGTACTCAGAACGAGTTTGCCTGAGAGGAGAGACGGCTCCAGCCGTTCCTCTGGGCTCCTCACCTCCGACTTTCCTCCAGCCAGACCCTCCCTCATTTATTTATCCTAACTGAAGAGCCTCCACCTGAGATCTGTATCCCCCGAGGGCCCACCACGTGGCTTTCATCCCAGTTACTCCGACAGGTTCTGCTCAGACCTCTCCTTCCTGATAAGCCTCTCCCTTCCTGACCAGCCACACCTCTGGTGACCCTGCCATTCACCCTTTATGGCCCATGACATCTGGCCCTTCCGTACAGTAAAGAGGTGAAATGCATGAGCTCCGGGCCAGACATCGTAGGTTCAAATCCTGCCTCTCCTGTCTACAGCTACTTGTCATCTGGAGTAGCTGCTTTTGTTTCTTGCGACACCCCTCAGTTCCCTCTTCTCAGCCGGGTTCCAGGCAGTGGCTCACACCTGTAATCCCAGCACTTTGAGAGGCCAAAATGGGAGGATCGTTTGAGCTTAGGAGTTCAAGACCAGCCTGGGCAATCCTGTGAGACCCAGTCTCTCCAAAAAAAAAAAAAAAAAAAAAAAGCTGGGTGTGGTCACGTGAGCCTGTAGTCCCAGCTACTTGGGAGGCTGAGGTGGGAGAAGTGCAATCATACCTCACTGCAACCTCCAGCCCGGGAGGTGGAGGTTGCAGTGAGGTATGATTGCACTACTGCATTCCAGGAGGGTGAAAGAATGAGATGTAGCCTCTAAAAATACAAAAAACAAGTTCCTTCTTCTGCCTGTCTTCTCAGCTACGCTGGAAGATCTTTAAGGAAGAGGACCCTGCCTCCGACTTCCTTCCTTCTCTGCCACAGCTGACGCAGCGCCCGAACATGACACAGAAGCTTCTCAAGAAACATGACATTGGTCACTGCTGTCTAACAGGCATCAGGCCCACTGAATAGCCACATGTGAGGTCTGGATTCTTTCCTATATCCCTGGGCCTTGGGAAAGAGAAGAGAATTTAGTAGTACTCACTGATAGCGTGACAGACGTGGAGAGAACACAAACACACATGCGCGGATACATGCATGTGTGCTTAAAGGATTTGTCCAAGGTGCCTGGGAGTTCACTGAATTCCCAGCAGAGCACAGGCATGGAGGAGGGTCTGTTCCCTGCACTCAGCCCCTTAGATTACCCAGTCCGTCATTTTTATCCAATGGAGCATCCCCTTTCTGCATTTGACCCATTGTGGCAAAGTTCATTTCACTCTTTTTTTTTTTTTTTTTTGTGAGAGAGTCTCGCTCTATAGCCCAGGCTGGAGTGCAATGGAGTGATCTTGGCTCACTGCAACCTCCACCTCCTGGGTTCTCCCGCCTCAGCCTCCCGAGTAGCTGGGATTACAGGTGCCCACCACTGCACCCGGCTACTTTTTGTATTTTTGGTAGAGAAGGGGTTTCACCATGTTAGGCTGGTCTCAAACTCCTGACCTCAGGTGATCCACGTGCCTCGGTCTCCCAAAGTGCTGGGGCATGAGCCACCACACCCAGCCCACTCTTTGTATACTTAAATTTCCCCTCCTCTTACACACCTAAGAACCTGGTCCAATTCAGTTCACCTGGAAAATGGACAGTGAGTTTCTTCTTGGCTGGAATATTATTTTTGGAATCTCCCCACCCTCCCCCCTTGGCCTGTGCAGATGGATCTGTGCTCTGGCCATGAAACCCTTGCAGAGGGCCCTGAGAAACATGGGATAAAATATTCTTCTGTTAAAGGCTACCATCTTCACCTGACTGCAAAGATGCAGAAACTGAGCTGCTCTCCACTATTCCTGTAGTAACTGTGCTGCGGAGATAAGCTTTTCCCCTATATAGGAGTGGCTGTTCGAGGCAGATTACCCTGGAGGGCAGGCACGGCTTCATTCCTACTGGGTTATCACCGGCTGCAGAACAGGGGCTTCTGCACAGGTCCGAGCCCTCTCACTGCGCAGGGTGACTCCCAGTCTTCCTCCTGTCCAGAGCTCGTGGGGTGGGGTGGGGGAGGGCACGGCAGCTTGTTTTGAGCACTAGAGGCCATGTGTGAGCTGGAAATGGTGCCAAGTGCTCTCTCTAAGCCCAGGCTGGAGCGTCAGCAGCACCTAAAATCCACGCTGCTCCTCTGTAGGGTCTGATCTTTTCTCCATCTCCCCGGGGCTACCTTCTTAAATGTTTTTGGACTTACGGAAAGTGATTTCTTAGTTGTCAGGCCTGGTTTTAGGGAATGACGCTGCTGTTTTGGGGATGCCTACAACTTTAGGTCCAGAGGCAGACAAAGAGAGGAAAACAGTGGGTACCAGCTGCCGAGACCACGGCCACGCCGGGCTCCCTGCATTCCAATCTGTGGCCCCACTGTCTCGAATCTGACTCAGAGAGCAGGGGCTTTTTTACAACACTGGTGCTCTCTGGGGTACAATTTTGGGTGGAGGGAAAAATCATTGCATTTCTTTCACATCCACCCACAACACTAACATCCTAAAATTACAGCTCCTGTAATAAAACAATGGAGCACAGCTGCTTCAGTGACAGAGTCATTTTTTGCATTGACTGTCCTGCCCGAAACGCTTTTAGAAGCTCTGAGGAGGGATTCCTCAGACTCTTCTGTAACGAAGATTTCCTATGTGGACTTACTGGTGTGTGTTACAAAGTGCCATAAATCTTCCTTCCAGTGCCCCGGCAGGTAAGACAAATACACACAGACACACACACACACACATAAGCCAGGGACACATGTATTGCTACTTACACACACACACACACACACACACACACGTGCAAACCTACTGCATTTATCAACATATGTAATCCAAAAGAAAGCCTCACTGATTTGAACTCCATTCCCCGGGAACACCCACCCTCCGTCCCTGCTCCAAACTGACCATGAACCACCACAGTCCCTAAATCAAGATAAATAACATGCTCGGCCGAGAGCCACACCATCCAGTAAGAAAAGGACTTTTCAAGCTTACCTGCGTGGGTCATGAACTTCCACGGAAAACTTCTTTTCTCTGAAATACAGGTTTTCCAGCTGTCTCCATTGGAATATCTGGACAGAAAACAATGTAGTTTAAAACTTAGGAGGGGCTGGTTCCTGGGCTGTCTTCCCCTCTCTGCCGGTCAACTTTCCACAGCTGGTAGTTTCCTTATCAAAGCAGAGACGGTAGCTTGTGCTTCCTCCGCCCCTTGCTTCACACACACACACACACACACACACACACACACACACGCAGCTCTCCAGTTCAAAACCAGGCAACGTGGGTGTGGATTTTCCTGCAGGTTCCTTAACTGGAACAAAACAAGTTCTTTTCAAGTTCTCCGCCTTTGGCTGGCCTTTGTTGGTGTGCCCCTGGCGGTCCCCAGCTTGGCAAACTGTTCCCTTACAGGAGAGGGAGGAGAGGTGGAGACAGGAGAGAGGGGCCGAGCAGAGAGAGGAGCGAGAGGCACAGAGCGAGCTCTCAGGAGGCAGCGGTGGCCATCTGCGCGCAGTGCTGAGTCGAGCTTCCTCCCTCCAGTGCTGAAATGGGAAGGCGTTCAGATTCCCAGCCTCCCATCGGGACTCCACTTCCTGCTCACTAATGTGTAAGAGCCTTGCTAAGGGCGGAGGAGGCTGGGACCTTATTTCGGGGGCAGGCAACTGAAGATCACAGTGTGAGCCTGTCAAGCCCATTCTTCCTGCTGCAGCACAAAGAAAACCAAGAGTTCTGTCGCCCGGAAGGACGCCGGAGTCTCTCCCTCAGGCTTGGCCGGGGAGGGTGAGAAGGGGCATGAAGGGGCCCTGGCGGTCCTTCGCCCTTCGGACCAGTGAGCTCGTTAACTGAGAAGCCGACTGTACTGTTTGGAAGTAATTAGGGCTGCCTCCAATTGCCCCAGGAACGCGGTTCCTTTCATTCATTGGATGCAGGAGAGTTACTTTCACCCTTTGGGAAATGTCACAGGAGGTTCAAGTTGTGTGCACACACATTTACATTTATATTTGATGGTGACTGCATCGCCTGCAATACACTTGGAATTTCGGTTTATTTTGCAGGAAGAAGGGGTAAAGCAGGAAACTTGTTTTGGCCATTCTGCAGGGAACAGCTTCCCTGAGCTCCCCGCTTTCTCTCGTCGCTGAGATGAATGCTTTTTAGGGTCTTACCCCCAGACTCCTCAGACCTGAGACTCCTGACCCTCTCTGGCATCCTCATGGTCTCTCCACCTTGGAGACGTGACAGCCATTTCCTGTATCCCACCAACCTGTCTTCCCAGGCTGGGGACAGGCTAGTCAACAGTTGGCCAGTGGACCCAGCACCCCAAATAATATTGGGCTGGAATGAAAATGGCCTCTGGAATGGCCGCCTTCTTTTATCTTCATAATCTGCTCTCTGGGATTTTACAATTATTTTGTCTGCGTAAGTACTGGGAAGGAGAATATCTATTATCTCTTATTACAGAGCGGCCTCTTTTGTCCCGGGCTCAGAGTGCATTTCACTCTGAAGCCCAAGGAAATAGTACTTTCCTTTCTTGTTAAGCATCAGCTCCAGGTGGGTGGAGAGACACTGCAAGGAAAGCAAATGGCCCAAAGAGGTATGTTGGCTGTTAGCTTTGTGTCACAGATTCAACAGCACCAGAGCGGAGTCTCATGCTCCTGTCTGATGCATGGCCACTATAAATCCTTCAGTGAAAACACCCAAAGTTCCTCTCTGGTCCCCAGTTGTTACATATTCAGAGACATTCCACCTGAACTTAGCCAGAGCTACAAATAAACCAGAATGAACAGGTTCTATGGCATTGGCCTCATAACCTGGGGGCAGTACACTGAACAAACTGGTCAGGCACGCAGGCCTTGTGGTGTGAATACATCTGTTTCAGTCCAGGCTCTCCTACATTAAAAAAAAAAAAAAAAAAAAAAAAAAAAATTGAGGCAGTCTTGCTCTGTCCCCCAGGCTGGAGTACAGCATCATGATCTTGGCTCACTGCAACCTCTGCCTCTCGGGTTCAAGTGATTCCTGTGCCTCAGCCTTCTAAGTAGCTGGGATTACAGGAGTGCGTAACCACATCTGGATAATTTTTGTATTTTTTAGTAGAGATGGGGTTTTACCATGTTGGCCGGGCTGGTCTTCAACTCCTGGCCTCAAGTGATCTGGCTGCCTCAGCCTCCCAAAGTGCTGGCATTACAGGGGTGAGTCACCATGCTCAGCTCAGACTCCACTACTTCTAAGCTTCTAGATCTTACAGTTACAGCACTTCCTTTAGCCTCAGTTTTCCCCTCTGTAAAATGGCAAAAATGACCCCTCTAAGGTGGATCTCAGCAGCCACAGATCTTAGCACGGTACCGGCACAGAATGACCTTAGATCTTACTATGAATCCCAATTGTTCTTACTGCTTCCAAAGGCTGGCAGATTAAAAGAGAGTCATTTCAGAACAACCAGAATCATTCTTTTCTTAGATTTCCTAACTCAAGCCCCAACTTTTAGATGTAAAAATAATTATTAAGTGTGTGCTGCAAATCCTTAAATACAGATAATTTTTCTCCCACTGCCCCTCTCCTCCTCTTAAGTAAGGGATGTGGATGGTACTTCAGTGAAAAGGTCCTGTTGGCTGCCCCCCCACGGGGGTCTCTCAGTCCCTATCCTGCACCTGCCTTGGTCAGGCAAAGTGAAGTCTTGGACAGGATTGGCCTTCTGGGTGTGGCACCCGAGGGCCCTTTGCTGAGAAGGTCTTTGGCTTAGTTTCACAATCTGCTGTTGACATCTTGAAATTCCCCATAGTTTTTTCATTCTTTCTTTCTGTGCTTTCCTTTATCCTTTTTCTCTCCCTTCCTCCCTTCAGTTTTTTTTTTTTTTTTTTGGTCTTTATCTTCGTTGCTATATGCTCTAAAAACATTATTTCCATAGGTTTTTGGGGAACAGGTGAGATTTGGTTCCATGAATAAGTTCCTTAGTGGTGATCTGTGAGATTCTGGTGAGCCCATCACCCGGGCAGTGTACACTGAACCCACCTAATAGTTTGATCAAGGGACTCTGTCTTTCCATTCTGCACTGGGCCCTGCTCATTGTGAACTTAGTCCTGGTGGGTGCTGTGGGGTAAGGTGCCTGCCAGCCTAATGGGCAGGCCAAGGGAGGTGGGACCCTCAAACCCTCCAAGAGGAGGAAAGAAAACAGAACCAGGTGTGAGCATGCTTGAGAAACCCCCTGTGCCTTTCACGGGAAGGCCCCTTCCCACCTGATGAAGAATCCCAGCACAGAATGCTCCGAGGGGTTGTTTCCCTGGCAACTCCTCTTTCCCCCATTCCATGCAAAATAAAACGCAAACCAAGCTTTGCTTTAAGTGCTCCCTGATGCAGTTCGGCGTGGAGAGCTGCACGTCTGCCAAAGGGCTGGGACAAAACCATCCGGATTCTGCTGCAGCGCCCCGTCCATGGCTGCTGTATTACCCGTGGGAAGGCCCTGCCTCCAGCTTCTGCCCTTGGCCATGAACCATGGAGTCCTGGCTCCCAGGCATCTCTCCAGGATGATGCACTAGACATTTTTGTAACTGGGTGCAGAACAATGGATTCCCCTTGATGCTTGCTTTAAGCATGATTTTTTGTTTTGCAAATGCAGTCCTGGGAAGGAAGGGTAAAAGTGAGGCGAAGGGATGGGTGGTTTTCAGGATCAGATTCTTGCATTGAGACATTAGAAGAGTCCAAGGATAGTCCGGGCACAGTGGCTTATGCCCTGAATCCCAGCACTTTGGGAGGCTGAGGTGGGTGGATCACTTGAGGTCAGGAGTTCGAGATCAGCCTGGCCCACATGGCGAAACCGTATCTCTACGAAATTATACAAAAATTAGCCGGGTATGGTGGCGGGTGCCTGTAGTCCCAGCTACTCAGGAGGCTGAGGCAAGAGAATCACTCAAACCTGGGAGGCGGAAGTTGCAGTGAGCCAGGATCACGAGATTGCATTCCAACCTGGTGACATAGCAAGACTCCCCTTCAAAACAAACACAAACACAAACAAACGGGTCCCAGGAACAGAAGAGGAGGTATACATGTCGGAACAGTGGCCTGATCCTTTTTTCTTCTCTTAGGAGGGAGAAGGTGAGCTGGGGAGCAGGAATATGAAGGCAGCAGGGACCTGGAGGGTGGGAGCAGCTGCTCCTTGCCCAGAGCTGGGGAGCAGCCTGCTGGAAAGGCATCATGCTCTTCATGGGGGCATTTCTGCACATGGACTCTTGTGCCCATGGCTTAGAGGCCTTGCCTGTTAAATAGTTCACTCTGAGGCTGGCAGAGCAAACACAACAAGCAAATCAACAAACAGGAGGTGCTCATCTAGCCTCCCTTTTGTAAACAGGGTAAGGTGGGCTCTGACTGAGCTGGTTTCTGGGCAGCCCCAAGGGTCTGCGCCACATCAGGGGAGTGTCCCCAGCTTGTGCTGGCTCAGTGTAGCCCTCGTAACCCACCACCACATAAAGCTGCCAACATGCTCTGCCCCTCTGTGTAAAGACACAACAGACACCCACAGTGATCATCAGGATGACTGAGCAGGTTCCCTTAGGATTTTGTGTGACTCCTGTCGCCAATTATGCCCAAGGAGCTAATAAAAAAGCTAAAATACATAGTTGTACCAATAATCAAAGAAGGTATTAATTCGTACCTATTAAATCAAGGCGTTTCGAATGCACTTCATTTAGGCATCTTTAAAAAGCCCTGCAAACATCGTTCCTTTGATCTTTTGGCATCCCCCAAGAAGAGTGAGTGGGAAATTTACTTTTTGGGGTAAATGAGGTCCGGAGAAATTAAGGAAAACTGCCTAAGGCCACACAGCAAGTAAGTGAGGGAACCAGAAATAGAATTCAAGGGCACCTGGTCCATTACTCTAACCTCTAACTATGTTGCTTTCCCCAGGAGTCCACCAATTAGTGGGTACAACGCTTACTGACTAATGGATGGTTAACTTTACAAGTGGAATGAGTTTTGCAAATGAGCTACAATATGATTAAGGAGAAAGTAAAAGAGCAAATCTTTCTCGTCCTGCACCATGGCCTGGCTTTCCTTTTTTACGGTAAATGATAACAAGCATTCTTTC